TCACATGGGTGTGGGCGGCTATCTCACGCAGAAAGGGATCATGCGTAGGTGTGCCCCCCACTCACAGCAAATTCTTGATTTGAGTGATAATTCATTGCACGCGACCATTCCTGATAATATTGACCATCTTTTAAAGCTCAACTTCGTTAGTTCGAACATCAGCCTAACTGGTTATATTCCAGCTTCAATCGGCAATCTTTCGTCTCTGTATCATATCGCGCTTCGTACTAATCAGTTGGAGGGAAACATCCCTGAAGAAATTGGAAGGCTGGACAGCCTACGGTATTTACAGGTTTCTGAAAATAAACTTTCAGGTATTGTTCCTTTTGTCAAAATTGTACTACTTCGTCCTGGCCATTAACCAGTTTGAGGGAAATCTCCCTTCCACGATGGGCGCAACACTACCAAATCTCGAGACGGTTCTCTTTGATGGTAACCAATTTGAAGGGCCTATGCCACTTTCGCTCTCCAATACCTCAAGACTATCTTCCATCAATATGAGCAGTAACAATTTAAATGGGAGAATACCGTTGAATTTAGGGAGACTAAGTTCTCTCTCTCAGATAAACTTAGAATCGAATCGACTCAAAACAAGTGATGCCGAAAGCTGGGAGTTTTTAAATTTTCTGGCGAACTGCAGCCAGTTGAAGATGTTGAGTCTGCATCAGAACAATCTTGGTGGTGAATTACCAAATTCGATAGGTAACCTTTCTACAGGTTGTTGTTGTCGGGTGTACCACAAACCTCTGCAGACGAGCAGATGAGGTCGACAGTGAGCTCAAGCCGAGCTTGAGAAGATCGTCAGGCGAGCTCGAGGTCGAAGTTCAGGCGAGCTCAAGATCAGACAAGGTTGTCGGCGAGTTGCAGGCGAGCTCAAGGCTTGCGTCAGGCGAGCTTGAGGCGACGTAGCTCCGCAGGCGAGCTTGGGTCAATGCAGGCGAGCTCGACGAGGGTAAAGCAGGCGAGGTCGATGCAAAATCCAGGTGAGCTCGAGGTGGCTTCTTGCAAGCGAGGTCGAGGCGCCCGCAGGCGAGGTTGAGCGCGCGCTTGGCTGGCGACAGCCTGTCGCCAGCCTCGAGCAGAGCTGCAGGCGAGCGCTAGGCGAGGCATCTCCATAGGCGAGCTTGGGGCGATGCAGGCGAGCTCGACACAAGATCCAGGCGAGGTCGAGACGCCCACAGGCGAGGTCATGGCGCATGGCTGGCGACAGTCTGTCGCTAGGGTTTCCCTATAAAAGGGAAACCCCGAGCACGAGATTGTTGCGCTTCTCCTCCTCCTCCTTCTTGTAATTTTCACCCAAGCGGCGTCGACTCCTCTTTCTCTCTCTGCTCTTTTTCTTTTCTCCAACTCTCACGTGATTTGAGGGGGAATAAAAGAGAGAATTTAAGAGAGAGAGAGAGAGAGAGAATTGGTAATTAAGAGAGGAAATTAACACTATAGCTATAATGTTGGTATTACATTTATTGAGAGATATCAAGTTTAAGATCTGTTCTTGTATTATAATTTTTTAGATTAATAAGAAATTAATTGTGTGTATTTTTTTCTATACTGCATTTCTGCTATTTTTTCTATACTGTGTTTCTGCTATTTTAGAGGTTTAGTGTAGTCCCGGGTTTTCCCCCAACAACTGGTATCAGAGTCTGAAATGATTTAGAGAAAGTCAGATTCAAGTGGGAGCGATGGCCGCAAATAAAGGAAATGTGAGATTAGAGAAGTTTGATGTACCAGATTTTGGATTTTGGAAGATGCAGATAGAGAATTATCTGTACCAAAAGAATTTGTATCAACCCCTTTCGAGGAAGAAGCCGGAGGGTATGAAGGAAGAAGATTAGAATCTTCTAGACAAAAAAAACCCTTGGGTTATTCATTTAACGTTAACCCACAATGTTGCTTTTAACATTACAAAAGAAAAGACCTTGGTTGGTCTTATGACAGCACTCTCAAATATGTATGAGAAGTCATCAGTCTCAAACAAAGTTTATTTAATGAGACGGTTATTCAATCTGCAAATGACGGAAGGTGCATCGGTAGCACATCATCTTAATAAACTCAATACAGTCACGACCCAATTAAGTTTAGTTGATATTGAGTTTGATGAAGAAGTACAAGCATTAATCATTTTATCTTCCCTACCAGAAAGCTAGAATTCTATAGTCATAGCTGTGAGTAGCTCGTCGGGAAGTAACAAGTTAAAGTTCGATGACGTTCGTGATCTGATTCTCAGTGAAGAGATTCGACGGAGAGAGTTGGGTGAAGCTACGACCTCTTCAGTATTACATATAGAGTCAAGAAGTAGAAGTTCAACCAGAGAAAATGGATTAGAGGACAGGAGGTCCAAACCCAGGAATCCCAGTAGCTCGAAGGTTATCGAGTGTTGGAAATGTGGAAAAACCGAGCACTACAAGAATCAGTGTAAGAGTGCACAAAAGGAGTGGGAGGCAAAGGCAGATGCAAATATTGCTTCCACCTCAGGAGGAGATGATGTATTGATATGCTCTTTGGAGAGGAAGGATGAGTCTTGGGTGTTGGACTCTGGAGCATCATTCCATGCTACTTCTCAGAAATAATTTTTTGAGAAGTATATTCCTGAAAATCTTAAAAATGTATACCTTAGTGATGATGAACCGTGTGCCATTATTAGAAAAGGTGTAGTGAAGATTAAGTTGAATGGATCAATATGGAAGCTGAAGGATATCAGACATATTCCTGACCTGAAAAAGAACTTAATCTCAATAAGCTAGCTGGCTAGTGGAGGCTACACTACGACTTCCCATGGTGATGATTGGAGGATTTCAAAAGGCACAATGGCAATTGCCCGAGGTAAGAAGATTGATACCATGTATATCACAGCAAGTGCACGTTGTTTTATCTCAGTTGCAGCAGGCGATGAGACTTCAAGGCTGTGGCACCAGAAACTCGGTCATATGAGTGAGAAGAGGATAAAGATTATGTACACAAAGGGAAAACTCTCAGGTTTATAATCAGTAGAGATTGACATGTATTAAGAATGAATACTTAGAAAGCAGAAAAAGGACAGCTTTCAGATAAGTGACAGAACCCCTAGGAAAGAAAATCTAGAGCTCATTCACTCAGATGTTTGGGGACCAACCACAATCGCGTCCATTGGTGGGAAACACTACTTCATGACTTTTATCGATAATCACTCTCGGAAAGTATGAGTCTACTTTCTGAAGCAGAAGTCAGAAGTATTTGAGGTTTTTAGGAGATAAAAAGCTATGATCGAGAATGAGACCGGACTGAGAATAAAGAAACTCAGAACAGACAATGGTGGTGAGTTTAAAAATATCAGATTCAAGAAGCTCTGTTATGAGCACAAGATCAGAATGGAGAGAACTATGCCCAACATGCCTCAGCACAATGGTGTGGCTGAGTAGATGAACCAAACGTTGACAGAGAAAGTCAGAAGCATTCGGATACAGTCAGATCTACCGAAATAGTTCTGGGCAGAAGCAGTCAACACAACAGCTTACTTGATCAACTAAGGTCCATCGGTTCCGTTGGAGAATATCAGAGGAGGTATGGTGCGAAAAAGAGATAAAACTCTTACATCTCAAAGTTTTCGGTTGTGTAGCTTATGTGCATATCAGTGATCAAGGCAGGAATAAGTTTGATCATAAGTCTAAGAAATACATATTTATCGGGTATGCTGAAAATGAGTTCGGCTATCATATTTAGGACAACGAAAACAAGAAGGTGATCAGGAGCAGAGATGTGATATTTAACGAGAAGGTGATGTATAAGGACATGCGCAAGACAGATGACTTAGATAGCGAGTCAACATTTATAGATGCAGATGATGTACCGAGTAACCTCTCAGAAGAACCCAATGCAGAAGGTCCTCAGCCAGAAGAGCTTGTTGGACAGAACGGTGTGCAGAAGCCCGACGCACCAGCTTTGATATTGAGAAGATCTTCTCGTCCTCCTGTGCCTAACAGCAGATACATGAATTATAAGTTGCTGACAGATGGAGGGGAGCTTGAAAGCTATGATAAAGCTTGTCAGGGTGGAGATACGAGCAAGTGGGAGCTTGCCATGAAAGAAGAGATGAAATCTCTGATCAACAACTAGACATGAGAACTAGCTGAGTTGTCCATGGGGAAGAAGGCACATCACAACAAGTGAGTGTATCGAGTGAAAAAGGAACATGATGGTTTGAGAAGATACAGATCTCGACAAGTTGCCAAAGGATTTGAACAAAAGATCCAAAGAAGTAAGAATCCAACGGATATGTTGACAAAGACAGTGACATTTCAAACACTAGAGTTATGCGCAACTTCAGTTGGCATTAATGCATAGGTGATGAGAGCGGAGCCACACAGGAGAAAGTGCTTGTTGAGATAACCTGCTAACAACGATTTGGTCTCCAAGTGGGAGATTGTTAGTGTCGGGTGTAGACACAAACCTCCGCACAAAGACAGTGACATTTCAAACACTAGAGTTATGCGCAACTTCAGTTGGCATTAATGCATAGGTGATGAGAGCGGAGCCACACAGGAGAAAGTGCTTGTTGAGATAACCTGCTAACAACGATTTGGTCTCCAAGTGGGAGATTGTTAGTGTCGGGTGTAGACACAAACCTCCGCAGGCGAGCAGGCGAGGTCGATGGCAAGCTCGAGGCAAGCTTGAGAAGATCGTCAGGCAAGCTCGAGGTCAAAGTTCAGGTGAGGTCGAGGCGGTCTACAGGCGAGGTCGAGCAAGGCTGCAGGTGAGCACGAGGCGACGCAGCTCTGCAAGGCAAGATTGGGGCGATGTAGGTGAGCTCGACGTAAGATTCAGGCAAGGTCGAGGCGCCCGCAGGCGAGGTCGCGCGGGCATGGTTGGCGATAGCCTGTCGCTAGGGTTTCCCTATAAAAGGGAAACCCCGAGCACGAGATTGTTGCGCTTCTCCTCCTCCTTCTCATGATTTTCACCCAAGCGGCGGCGGCTCCTCTTTCTCTCTCTACTCTTTTTCTTTTCTCCAGCGCTTACGCGATTTGAGGGGGGAATAAAAGAGAGAATTTAAGAGAGAGGGAATTGGTAATTAAGAGAGGAAATTAACATTGTAGGTACAGTGTTTGTATGGCATTTATTGAGAGATCTTAAGTTTGAGATCTGCTATTATATTATAATTTCTTAGATTAATAAGAAATTAATTGTGTGGCTCCCGAGAACGTAGACAAGTTTGCCAAACCTCGTTAAATCTTGGTGTACTTTTCTCTATACTGTGTTTCTGCTGTTTTAGAGGTTTAGCGTAGCCCCGAGTTTTTCCCCAACACAGGTCTCCAAGAGCTAACTCTGGTACAATTCCTTCATCAGTTGGAAATCTAGTGAATTTGACTATATTGGCATTGGGGCTGAACATTCTCACTGGGGTAATTCCTGAAAGTATAGGTAATCTGAAGAATTTGCAGCTGTTAACATTGTATAGAAGCAGACTAATAGGAAATATTCCATCTTCTATAGGCAATCTCACTCAATTAGTAAACCCTTATCTTACTGGAAACAATTTGGATGGCTCTATACCTTCAAGCCTTGGAAATTTGCAGCAAGTAGAAGAGCTGGGTCTAGGTAATAATGATCTAGGTGGTGAAGTACCTAAAGAAATATTCAGCTTATCCTCCCTTACATCTTTTGGTTTATCTTATAACTCACTCTCTGGTAGCATTCCTTTTGAAGTCAGTAGCATGAAATATCTTCGGATACTGTATGTCGTGGGAAATAAGTTGACAGGTGAAATTCCGAGCAGTTTAGGAGATTGTCAGCTTCTAGAGTCTTTAAACAATTTAAAAGGTAATTCTATTGACAGGTAAAATCCCTTCATCTTTAAACAATTTAAAAGGCCTTCAGGTGCTAGATCTTTCGCAAAATAACCTGTCAGGACGATACCTGATTTTCCTGGGAGATTGAGTCTTGTATCCCTAAATTTATCGACCAATAACTTAAAACACGAGGTGCCAATGGAAGGGATTTTCGAAATGCAACTGAAACTTTGATTACTGGAAACAATGAGCTTTTTTGGTGGTATTTCAGAATTTCAGTTGCCTTCGTGTTCTATGAAATCAACTGAAAAGAAAGGATCCTCCTTGTTGCTGAAAGTAGTCATTTTAATAGCTAGCATTATATTCGGCTTACTCTTGCTCATCTCTCTTGCTCGAGAAGAGTAACTTCTGCTTTGCCTTGGTCCAATGATCGGTATCTCAGAGCTTCATACTTGGAACTAGCGAAGGCAACTGATGGCTTCTCTGATAACAATTTGATAGGCACAGAAAGTTATGCCTTGGTATACAGAGTGATTCTCCATCATGATAATACGATTGTAGCTGTGAAAATATTGAAACTTGAGAGACGAGGAGCAACCAAGAGCTTCACTGATGAATATGAGGCTTTGAGAAATATCAGACATCGATATCTTATCAAAATTCTCACCTCATGCTCCACAGTCGATAAAAAAGTGGACGATTCCAAAGCTCTAGTATTTGAATTCATGCCTAATGGAAATTTGGAAGCATGGTTGCATACAGAAAACAAGGGCCATAGCTTGATACAGAGGTTAAATATAGCCATTGATGTTGCTGATGCACTAAAATATCTACATTATGACTGTCAAGTACAAGTCATTCATTGTGATCTGAAGCCTAGTAATATTCTACTTGATGATGATATGGTTGCTCATGTGGGTGATTTTGGACTGGCAAGGTTAGTAACTGATACGAGCATGCTTGTACAGAATTCTAGCTGCTCAATAGCGATAAAGGGAACCATTGGATACGTTCCTCCAGGTAATTTCAATGTCTTTTGCACATATGTCGAAGATCAGACTTACTGATTTTTCGGATTTGATGATAGAAAGATAAATTTCTAACTGTTCATTTTGAAAAAAGTGACTTTTGAAATTTTGCATCTTACACCTCACTACCAAGCACAACTTTTTGTGCTTGGTACCAAGCATACCCATATTTCTCATATATATATATGAGAAAAATGGAGAACCTTGGTACCAAGTTGCTTAAAGCAACTTGGTAGTGATGTGACCTAATCTTGTCCCTACATCACACCTCGAAGATAGAACCTCAACCACCCTTCACCAACTCCAATGTAGATGTAGGGACAAGATTAGGCCACATCATGTGATTCCCGCTTAGTATCTCCACCTAGTGGGAGACAACATCATTTGGAGCTTGGGGTGTAAGTGCTAATAAAATGGTTTATGATAGTAATTGGTTCGCCCCTCATAGTACAGGGGGTGTATATGCAATTAACCCTATATAACAATTAGTCCCACATTGGAAATGATACAATGGTTCTATGTTTTTATTCCTCCTAATTGAACTTGATATACTTCGGCTTTTCTCGGCTACACCACACATGTGTCTTCCTCAAAACTTCTAAAACAAAAATTTTCCTCAAGTTTACTTTATATGTTTTGCTTATTATGAATTGACCTTTACTGCATAAAAGGCAACCAACTGCAGAATACGGTGCAGGTGCTCAGGTATCTACTTCTGGAGACGAATACGGCTATGGAATCATTCTACTAGAGATGTTTACAGGAATAGGACCTACTGATGATATGTTCAAAGATGGCCAAAATCTTCCTAATTTTGTCCAAGTAATGTTTCCTGATAGAGTTACAGAGGTCATAGATCCAGTTCTACTGTTACAACAAGCAGAGGGTGGATATTTCAACCTTGAGGATGACTCGGTTACGGATTCAAGAAAAGTCCAAGAATGATTAGAGCCTATTATTAGAGTTGGGCTTTATGCTCGAAAGAGTTGCCAAGAGAACGAGTGGATGTAATATTTGTTGCAACAGCATTGCAGACAATAAGGGATGCATTGCTTGGAGTTGGAGCTTATGGAATGCAACGGATATATGTTTCTTAAATTCATTGACATGAGAAATATATTGGATTTATCTCTTCAAAATTTTTTAATCAAATTATTGGTATGTGCATTTGGATATGTATGTGTGGTAAATGTGTACAGGTTTTATATCTGTCGGTTAATGTCGAATTCTACTGAGTTCTAAAGGTCTTGTCAACCAAAAGGTGTTTGAGTTGGAAAAAAGATATCCAAGAGCTCTTATGCTGTGTACCAACTTATAAATGTATTTTGAGGTTAACCCATATACTGATCTTGATTTTAATCTTAGACATATCTCAGGCGTAATGCAGAAAAGTCATTGATAACTATGTAAAATATAGCCTTCATTTTTAGGTTAAGTACTGATCTTGGTTGAAAGTTCAGATATATCTCTGATATTCCTATATTCCACTACATTTAGACGACGCATAACAAATAGTAACATCCCATTTCATGTTCGAAGTTTATGACTTATGTCTTTATTTCATACATTGGTATTCGACTAGGACTTATTAACTGATAAATGCTCTGTTTTGGTCACTTATAAATGTCTTGTAAAATTAACCCAAGAACTTACCTAGGTTAAATTTGAGATCTAATTAATTCTTGGTGATGGTCCTGACATCCTTCTGAACTGTTTTACATCAAATTATTAACATGTCTTTTGTAATGTCTTATAATATGTGCATAAGCATTACCCAAAGCTCTATGTAATTATTTTACTAGAAATTTAACTAAGGTAAGTCTTATAATTAAATCATGATTTAGTCTTCAGTTGCATCCCTCTTTTGATTTTCCAAAGCCTGCATGTCAGTAGATTCATGGGGAATCCGGGAAAGACGCACTGGGAAGCGGTGAAATGGGTCCTGAGGTACTTGAAAGGTACCGCGGATACGGGTCTGTGTTTTGGTGGAGATACATGTCAAGTCGACGGGTATGTGGACTCAGATTATGCGAGCGATCTAGATAGACGGCGATCTACTACTGGTTATGTATTCAGGATACATGGAGCTCCAGTTAGTTGGCGATCGATGTTGCAGGCTACAGTGACACTTTCTACTGTCAGGCGCCTATCAACTCCAAAATCACCGAAAGCAGCAGCCATCTTTGAAGTTTTGAAAAGAAAACAAAAATGACGGGGCCCACTGCTACAGTAAAATATTAATATTTTATTGTGCATAGTATTTTTCTAAAACTATAAATAGGGCTCCAAATCCTTAAGAAAATCTCATCCCAGAAACAACTTCTTATATAAGAAGAGTGAGAGAGAAAAAAATAGAGAGAGTTTCTCCTTGTAAAGAGAGAGTTTGTAACTCCAGAGTTTTTTCTCATAGTGAATTCTTCTATCCTTGCCCGTGGACATAGGCAATCAAGTGCCGAACCACGTAAATCTGTGTGTCCAATATTTTATCTCTACTTTTGCTCTACTATTGCTGCGACCCTGCTCTATTAGGCCCCGGGTTTGTCCCAACAAGTGGTATCAGAGCCAACTTAGGGTACATGTATATATCTACTTATCGTATGCTCTGTGGCTGCCACCAAAGGTGGATCCTCCATATCAGAAAATAAGTTAGGTTATCACTTACCCTTTAGAGGTGACGGGTACTATTCACGAGTACGAAACTGTTCACAAATACAGTACTATTTACAAGTACGGTACTATTCACGTATACGGTTACTGTTCATAAATACAGTACAATTTACGTGAGATAGTAAGAAGTTACTGTTCGTGGTAGAAGCAATGGCGGCGAAGTTCAAGATCGAGAAATTCGACGGGAGTAATTTCTCACTGTGGAAGTTAAAGATAAAGGCTATCTTAAGAAAAGACAATTGCCTGGCGGCCATCGGTGCAAGGCCGGACGACATCACAGATGATAAGAAGTGGAACGAGATGGACGAAAATGCTATTGCAAATCTCCATCTGGCATTAGCAGACGGGGTGCTGTCAAGCATAGAGGAGAAGAAGACAGCAAAGGAGATCTGGGATACTCTAACAAAGCTATATGAGGCGAAATCCATGCACAATAAAATCTTCTTAAAAAGGAGACTTTACACTCTGAGGATGGCGGAATCTACATCGATGACCGACCACATCAACACCCTAAACACACTGTTCTCCCAACTCACAACGTTGGGATATACAGTTGGTGCGAATGAACGTGCAGAACTTCTACTTCAGAGTCTACCTGACTCGTATGATCAACTCATCATCAACCTGACGAACAACGTCCTCACGGACAATCTAGTCTTCGACGATGTTGCAGCCGCTGTTCTGGAGGAAGAAAATCGGCGCAAGAACAAGGAAGACAGGCAGACAAGTTCGCAGCAAGCGGAGGCCTTGTCGGTGACGAGAGGAAGATCAACAGAACGTGGCTCCAGTGGGAGTCATGCCCATGGTAGATCGAAATCACGAAGTAAGAAGAATATCAAATGCTACAACTGTGGCAAAAGAGGGCACGTTAAATCGGAGTGTTGGCACAACAAGAAGAGTGGAGATAAAAAGTCTTCAGAGCCATCAACATCTCAAGGATGCGTTGTCAGCACGTCAGAGGATGGTGAAATTCTATTCAGTGGAGCAACCACTGTTGATGAAGGCAGAAAGAAGTTTGCTGATGTCTGGCTTCTAGATTCAGCAGCCTCTTGGCACATGACCTCTCGGAGAGATTGGTTTCACAAATATGAACCTATCTCAGGAGGATCTGTATTCATGGGGAATGATCATGCCTTAGAGATTTGTGGTATTGGTACTATCAAAATCAAAATGTTTGATGGTATAATACGCACCATTCAAGATGTGCGACATGTGAAGGGCTTGAAGAAGAATCTATTGTCTTTGGGACAATTAGATGAGCTCGGGTGCAAGACTCATATAGAAAATGGAGTCATGAAGATTGTTAGAGGGGCGCTTGTGGTAATAAAAGGAGAAAAGATAGCTGCAAATTTGTACATGCTCAAGGGAGAGACTCTGCAGGAAGCTGATTCATGTGTGGCATCAACCAGCCGTGGAGAAGAACAAACCATGATGTGGCATCGCAAGCTAGGCCACATGTCAGAACGAGGCTTGAAGGTTCTCTCCGATCAGAAACTGCTTCCTGGACTTAATTCGGTAGCTCTTCCATTCTGCGAGCATTGTGTTACAAGCAAGCAGCATCGACTGAAGTTCAACACATCGAGTTCTAGAAGCAAGGCTATTCTGGAACTGGTTCATTCTGATGTATGGCAAGCACCAGTTACATCCTTAGGAGGAGCAAAGTACTTTGTGTCCTTTATTGATGATTACTCCAGGAGATGTTGGGTGTATCCTATCAAGAAGAAGGCGGATGTGTTCTCAGTCTTTAAAGCCTACAAAGCGCGGGTCGAGCTTGAATCTGAGAAGAAGATCAAGTGCTTGAGGTCAGATAATGGAGGAGAATACACAGATGGTGAATTCCTAGCATTCTGCAAGCAAGAAGGCATCAAAAGACAATTCAGTACGGCTTATACTCCTCAACAAAATGGAGTGGCGGAGCGGATGAACAGAACTCTGTTGGAAAGAACAAGAGCTATGTTCGCTACTGCAAATCTGGAAAAAGTCTTTTGGGCGGAAGCAGTAAAAACCGCTTGTTATGTGGTGAATCGATCTCCATCAACTGCAATACAATTGAAGACGCCGATGGAGATGTGGACTGGCAAGCCAGCTGACTAACCTCTATATATTTGGATGTCCAGTGTACGTAATGTACAATGCCCAAGAAATTACAAAGCTGGATTCAAAATCCAGAAAATGCATATTCTTGGGGTATGCTGATGGAGTAAAGGGGTATCGCCTGTGGGATCCTACTGCCCACAAGGTTATCATCAGCAGAGATGTTATCTTTGTAGAGAACCAACTACAAAGTAAAGAGAAATAAAGCAGTTCGAGGAAGGACTCGGAGACTGTAGCTGTTCAGGTAGAAGATAATCCGAATTCTTCTGAAGCGACACCGGAGCATGATGTACAAGAACCAGTCGAGGCCGAGGCTCCAGAAGTTCGAAGGTCAACTCGTGAGAGAAGACCACCGACTTGGCACTCGGAGTATATTACGGAGAGTAATGTTGCATACTGTCTTCTAACAGAAGATGGAGAGCCATCAACTTTTCATGAAGCTATAAATGGCACAGATGCATCTTTGTGGATGGCAGCAATGCAGGAAGAAATTGAAGCTCTCCATAAGAACAAGACTTAGGAACTTGTGTCACTGCCACAAGGAAGAAAGACCATTGGAAACAAATGGGTCTACAAGATCAAGCGAAATGGCGATGATCAAGTGGAGCGGTATCGTGCTAGATTGGTGGTAAAAGGATATGCTCAGAAAGAAGGTATTGATTTTAATGAAATATTTTCTCCTGTAGTTCGACTAACAACAGTCCGAATTGTCCTGGCTATGAGCGCTATATTTGACTTACATCTAGAGCAGCTAGATGTGAAAACAGCATTTCTTCATGGAGATCTTGAAGAAGAAATTTACATGCTCCAACCAGAAGGTTTTGAAGAAAAAGGAAAAGAGAACTTGGTTTGCAGATTGAATAAATCTCTGTACGGTCTAAAGCAGGCGTCGAGGTGTTGGTACAAGAGATTTGATTCATTCATCATGAGCCTTGGATACAACAGACTTACTTCAGACCCTTGTGCATATTTCAAGAGGTTTGGTGAAAATAACTTTGTTATCCTATTGTTGTATGTTGACGACATGTTGGTTGCAGGCCCCAACAAAGATCGTATCCAAGAATTAAAGGCTCAGTTGGCTAGGGAATTTGAAATGAAGGATTTAGGATCTGCAAACAAGATTCTAGGGATGCAAATTTACCGAGACAGAATTAATAGGAAGATTTGGCTTTCTCAGAAGAACT